TTAATCTCTTTAGAGGGAGCTTCAAATTTAGTTTTTTAAAAAATACTGAAAGGCTTGTCTTTAATTTAAGCACCTCAATTTCTCTAATTTGGTTGTTCGCTTTATGCAAAACTTTGGTAGTGCAAATGCCTACTCTACACAAGATCTTGTCGTTTGGTCATGTGTTGCAAAATAAATAACAACAAAAATTACGCTTGGCTCTTAGTTAAAAATGTTTTCGCTTTTGAACCTCAGGTCTCTATACTGCCTGCATTTTTTTATAGGTAAGTTGAACTAATGTGCATCAGATGGTAGCAAAATCTGGTAATTTATCAAATGGCGCATGGTCAAGTTATGCATAACGCAGTCCAATTTAAAAGGTTTTTTCTTACATTCGGGACATTTCGGTACGTAACGAGCACCAAATTTAAAAATAAACTTTTTATCGTATCAACTATTAAAGATTTTTTTTATAATTTCAACAGGTTAAACTTAATTTCTTAAAATAAAAATCACAAGGAAAGCTAGCGATAGTGATTATTTTGTAGACCTACAGAGTCCACTTGTCCACTGGATTATGAACGCCGGATGACGGTGTTTTTATAGTGATGGGGAAATTTGTTTGAATTATTTGGCCTGGCCTGTGCAAAATCGGTTCATTTTCCAAACATATGCCCAGCATAATTATTAGCTATGGGCAGAATCGAATGATTCTAATAATCGGATAGTTAGTATTCGAATGATTTTAAGAATCGATATATCACTCGAATGATCATTCACATGTTGTAAACATCGTTCAGTCAGCAGTTCTGATTTCTGATTCTCGTTTCTCGCTGCCGCGACGCCGCGAGCGATTTGAACAACGATTGCAGTGTTGCCGCTTTGCCAGTAATTACTTGCATTTGCAAGGAATGAGGAGCTTTGCAAGTAAACTTGCAAGGAATGGGTGCTCTGGAGGAATTTGCAAGTAATTGATGCGATGTTCATATTTTATGGATTAAAACATTCGTAACAGTTGCCATATTAGCATAACATTCTATGATACGGCGTGCGGGATTCAACCTAGAACATGGAGCCGAGCCAGCTGAAGTGAAAAAACAAATCGGGATAGAACGCATGATCACTAAGTAGGTGCTTCTGTTATCTGTCATTTTTCTCGGGACCATAAAGCCGCTGTGACTGTCAAGCCGCAGCAGTCTTGAGTCTTAGCAGAGCACTGAGGAGTAAAAATGGCCGTACTGACTGAAATATGAATACTCATCGTGAATCAATCAGTCGGTAGATATACATCTATTTTTGCGGAACACTCGTCACTCGGAATTGGAGGTTGTGTTTGGAGGTATGAGAAGTCATAGCACAGGTTCACCAAAAATTCATTCAGCGGTAGAATCGGTAGAATTAGACCTGAAGGAGATTCGAATACCTGTCATAACTAAACGAATAAAAACATTGAACTTTGCCAGTAATTGCAAGTAAACTGTCAGGTATTTGCAAGGAATTGCAAGTAAAACTGTCTGGTACTTGCAAGTAATTTGGCCACAACGCTGTGGCAACACTGATGAATGATTTTGTTTTAGTTGTTTTCGAACTTCGTGACGTGACGGGTGGTGTTTCGCTCAGTGGTGTTTTTCTTTTGCGGGTGATTTACGTTCGTCTTGTCTGTTTTGTTTAATACTAACTTTATCAGGCTTGGGTAAATTAAAATAAGGTAGTGTATATTCGTCCGTACATGTGCGGTCGACGTGACGTTTTGTTTAAACGGCCGTACATGTTTTAATTTGCACTGCTTAAAATAAATTAATCGTCCGGTTAGGTTAGCGCTTTCTTTAGAGGTTTTAATAATATTTCAATATGTACTAACATTTCAATAAACCATTCACCTGATCGAACTTAGGCAAGAATATCGAATGTGCGGCCGTTTAAACAAAACGTCACATCGACCGCACATGTACGGACGAATATCCAGTGCCTTAAAATAAATCTAAGTGTAAGTTTTTCTGTGAAAAAATAATTGTACTTTTTATTATTATGTTTTAATTGCAACAATTCTACCGGGAATAATTTTGTTACCGGTACCGGGACTCTAGCCACAGCGTAAATCAAATTCGTTAAATACCGATTTATTATAATTTGCCCATGCCTGATAGAATTATGAGACCTGGTGCTAAAAAATCCGTCGTTTGGGAATATTTTAAAAAATCTTCCAACACAAATTTTGTGCAATGCAATATTTGCAAAAAAGAACTAAAATTTTTTGGGAATACTACAAATTTGAATCAACATTTGAAGCGATTGCATGCAACTCAATTATTAGCAAATGAACCACCCAATAACGACAAGGATTTAGACAATAATGACCAAAAAGTGAATTCATTCAAGCACAAAGAAGATGAAGCTGGTCCATCAAGTAAAACCGATGAAATAATAGGAGAAAATCGAACGGGTTCATCGAATGACTCAACATTCCATCCTCCACCCCTAAAGCGAAGAAAGCAATTAAAATTATTTGGCGCTAAAACCAATGAATTGACTGACGTGGACATAATTGAAATAGATAATGCCCTTGTAAAAATGATAGTAAAAGACTATCAGCCTTTATCTATTGTCGAAGACGAAGGCTTTATTGAATATTCTAAAAGGCTTCAACCATTATATAATTTGCCGAGTAGGAAAAAGCTTTCAAGCATGCTTATCCCACAATTATACGAAAGAGAAAAATTAAAATTAAAAAATATGTTGCGCGAAACAAATAATATTGCAATCACTACGGACTGTTGGAGTTCAGATAGTAATAAATCATATATCACTATTACTTGCCATTTTATATATAGTGACAAAATGCATTCCAATGCTTTAGCTACAAGGGAAATGCTACATTCTCATACAGGAGAAAATCTAGCATTATCCGTAAAAGAAGTTTTGCAAGAATGGGACATATTTGAAAAGGTGTCTACAATTGTTTCAGATAATGCTGCAAACATAAAAACTGCAGTGCAAATACTGAACAAACATCACCATCCATGTGTGGCCCACACTCTTAATTTGAGTGTAAATGAGGCACTTAATGGAAAGCCCTTATTAAGCGCGATACTAAAAAAATGTAGGAGTATTGTTGGACATTTTAAACACAGCAACAATGCTTCTAATAAATTGAAAGCGGTGCAAGAGCAGATGGGGCTTCCTGTTCTTAAAGTGAAGCAAGATGTTCCTACAAGATGGAATTCTTGTCTAGTAATGCTGGAAAGATTATTGGTGATAAAAGATTCCTTGAGTATTACTATTACCAGTATTTCCAGTGCTCCAGAATTTTTAGATGCTCAAGAATGGACTATAATAAAAGATTTAATTCCTATTTTGAAGCCAGTGGAGGTTATCACCACAATCCTATCTGGCGAAAAGTACCCTACAATGTCTTCAATAATACCACTCATAAGAGGATTGCAGCATGCGCTAGTACGTTTCAGTACTGAAAATGAGGTCTGCACTCTTTTAAAAAATGATTTAGTAGATATTATTTCACGTCGTCTTGGAATTCTTGAAGTAAATAAGACTGTCGCGAAGTGTTCATTTTTGGACCCAAGGTTCAAAAAGTTGGGATTCGGGAACGAAACGAATTCTTCTAATGCTCAGAAATGGGTGTTTGAAGAACTGGTCCAACTGATAAGAAAGAAAAATGAACTAAATATAAATGACTTGGAGGAAAATAGACAGGAAGATGACTTAAGTAATCAAAATCCATCCAAAGACAATGATTTCGGAGTTTGGTTAAATTTTGACACAAGGTTATCTACAGTGAAGTCGACAGTTACCCCTACTACTGTTGCTACCTTAATAATTCGTCAATACTTGGAACTGCCTTTTGTAAATCGAAAAGAAAATCCATTAGAATTTTGGAAAGCACACAAACAAAGTATGCCTGAGCTCTATGAGCTTGCACTTAAATATTTAACAGTTCCTGGTACATCTGTACCCTCGGAGAGGATATTTTCGAAATGTGGACAACTAACCAACTTAAGACGAAATCGCCTATCTCCAAAAAACTTAGACCAAATAATTTTTTTAAATAGTTCTAATTTAGACTAGTATTATTAATTCAGAGTTTATGTTTGTATGGTACAAATATTTTGTTATGTCATGAAGTTTAATTTTATTATTTTATTTTATTATTATTCTAATATTTTGTTTTAGAAATTAACCTATATAATAATATATTATGTTTGCAGTTTTAAATCAAAGTTTAAGAAATGTAATTAAGTTTTATTTTACTGTTCAGAACAATAAGTTTGTTTTAGGAATAAATGTTTATTTTTCCAGTTTTAAACCAAAGTTAAATAAACTTTTTGTTAACATTAGTTTTATTTTTCTGTTATTATGTTACATATTTCCAAGCAGATTTATTATTATTATTATTACATATTTTGTTGCAAGGAATAAAGTTATAGGTAATGAATGCTCAATTCCAATCATGTATTGAGTTTGAGGTTTTAAGTTTTAACACCAAGATAGAATATGAAATTATCAAATCAATATAAATTACTGCTGTTATAAATATAATTAATAATCAGATAAACTAATATGCATAAAATTGAAATAAACTTTCGCCACTTGGCACATAATATACGTTAAAAAAACTATTGAGAGAAATCTGCTAAGGCACCCTATATTGTTATTCCCAACTAATAAAAAAAATAGTTCGATCGAAATAGAAAGAGCTATCAAAAGAATGCGCTTGAAAATTTAGATTTGTGATTCGATTATATTACCACACATAATAATAAAATTACGATGCGACAACATAAATTCTCAAGCGCATTTTTTTGGTAGCTCTTCCTATTTCAGTCGAAATTGTCGAAATATACCTACCACCAGGGCCGGCGCTAAGACTTTTGACGTCACGGGCAAGCCCAATTCTGCCGCCCCCCCTCCCACTTTTTTTCGTGCGCTCGGAAATCATTTAACATAGAACTCACGTATGTTAGACAATAATGCATAGTAATAGTTTTTTGTTTTCACACTACACATTTATTTATATATTTTGATTCTTAACAGTCTATGTACTCTATGTTACACCTATGTTCCTAACGCCGGCCCTGCCTACCACTTTTCGGGCCAGACCGCCAATTATTTCATAGATACGGCTGGGCTCACTGCTCACGCGTTGCTGCATGCGAAAGATGATTCACGAATGATCGCTCGAGACATCTGGTGCGAGACGCGCAGCGGCAGCATCGGTTTTATTTTGTTTCGAGCGGTCACACATTTGATTGAAGAGTGAATTATCATTCGAATCATTTGGTTGAAGTATTCGAGATATCTCGAATGATTTTGATAATCGAATGACCGATTATTTTTCATTCGAATGATCCCATCACTAATAATTATTCATATTCATATCAAATTTGTTGTCAAATCATGGTCAAATTAAAAAGTTTACTAAAAAAGTCGGAAGAACATTTACATTCATTTGAATCAGTTTAAACCGAATATATGGTTTTTGTTGACTCTGTGGAACAATAAATAATGTACAATTTATTAGAATTATATTTTGGAAGTCACTGTGTTCAATGTATCTTGGGAATGATCTAGATATATTTCCGCCGAAACAACATTCTAGAGACGACGAGGAAATTTGAAGAAATTCACTATACGTCTATACGAGTACTTTGTCATCCGTACTTTAAAAAATTTACTGCTCAACCCAAAAGTGTAACGATAGCTCTAACCTGTGTTGCAGACTGCATATTTTAAAGATTATGTCTCGTTTGTAATACCTTATCATTTTACAATAAGAGTATTTTATCTCATTTAAAGATCTTGCACATCGTACACAACATACTCAGTCATATCCGTTGAGTATTTACATAAGGGCTAGTAAAGATGGTGCAAATAGAGGGGAAATACGTATGTGAAAAAAATGAAAATTTGAATGAATTTTTCAGCTCTATTGGTAAGTGATAATACTTTTGTCGTAAATATAAATTTGGTACTTAATATCATGGTAATCTGATATTTATTATGTAAAGGTTATGTAGAAAAATCAATTGCCACTTGTGAATAAATAATCAGTAAAGACTGTTCATGTGACATTTGCCTTAGATATTGAATTTTAATGTGATATAATTCAGCATAAAGTGAAGTACAAAACTTTTTTATCTCATAGGCGTACCATTTGTACCAAGAAAAATTATGTGCAACTCCAGCCCTTCTATGGAAATAAAAAAAGAAGGGGAGAAGTGGACTATAACTACAATAACCTTGTTCAGAACTGCAGTTACTGAATTCAAACTTGGCGAGGAGTATGAGGAAGATATGCCTGGTGGAAAGCTTCGGGTAATAAAAGAAAAAATAAACAGAGAGCATTTGACAGAACATAACGAATTACTTCAAAACAAAGCAAAATTCATGTTAACATACAATATTTCAGTGTGTCACCACTATGGAAGGTGATAACAAGTTAGTTACAAATACTAAAGCACAAAATGGTACAACAGTTACCAGGACTTATGAGTTTACTGATGATCAATGTCTAATTGTAAGTAATTAAAAGTTATAGAAGAAAGAGCATAAGGATTATATTTTTACTTAATCATTATTTCTTTTCTCAGACATACCAGCATGGAGAAACTGGCACAATTGGAAAAAGATACTTCAAGAGAACTTAATGCACAATTTGAGTATACAAAAATAAAAGCAAGGCTAAAGTTCATGAACTTCCAACATCTCATTCATTTATATTTTTCATTTTAGTATTCAAATAATACTTAAAATGTTATTCATATCAACATTCAATTCTTAAATTACAATTGTTTAATGTGAATATAGGACTATGAAAATGAAAGTGCTATTTGGTCTTTTATAAGTGGCAGAATAGTGCTACACTAAACTTTGCCCCTAATCAAGATGATTATTATTTTATTATTATGTTAAAGTATTGTACATATACCTTTCTTTTCACTTTGTTGAACTTGTGATTTTGAGTATTGTATTTAAAGGTTATTATTATGTTTTATACCTAACAAATAAACTTGCATGTGTAATTTCACATTTCCTACCTGAACATATCAGGTGTTATATATCTTTCATCTAAAATGTGTATATGTATATCTGTAATGTATGTATGGTGTATATTTGGTAAGATGTTTATCTAATAAAGCACTGGTGTAATTATTGTAATACCTTAATTTCTGGCATTCCTTCTTTCCTTGTAGACCATCTGTAGCAGGGATTCTGGTGATTCACATTTTCTCACTTTTTTTATCCATCTCACTTTTATCACTATGTTGGCTGTGCATATTGTAGTTTATGAACTTATTTGAAGAAGCTGTCCTCGTACTGTCAAGCCCCACGAAATTAATTTCTTTATTTAAAAATTATGAGTTGTTCATGGGTTCTGCCCAAGCTGGGCCAATATGTATTACTTGAGAAATTACTAGGATTACTTGAATTCTTCGTTTGTCTAAAATCACTATAAATGTATATGCACTCGTGATTTCAAATTCGGAAACGGTAAGCAATACAATACAAAATCGTTTCTTCAAGGCAAATTTGCGTATTTCGGTAACTAATAAAATGTTACTTAAATAGTTTGGCAATACAAAATATTTTTAGAGAGAGAAAATACAAATTTACCCTGAACCGTTTTACTCTTCTCCTGGCTTAATTTGAGCTGGGCCTTCAATATAAATTGCATTAACAGTGGCACTTTTTACAAACCTTGTATAAGTAACTGTTAGTATTCATGTGTGTGTCTAATGGAACTTTGGGCTGGAATACTCGGGAGCTTTACAATATTTTATTCGTAAGTTGTTATACTACATCAAATTAAAAAAAGGTACAGAATTAGTTTAAAATAATTTAAGAAATGTATAAGTATTAACATATTTTTTTATTGGACTACTCTCCAATAGATGCCGCAGCATATCGGTAGCCACCACAAAGTCCACCATTTTGAATGACTACCTTTTGGGCTGCTGAAATCCGTTCAGTAAGCCCCAAAGCATGCAATGAGGAGTACGCTATGTTTTTCAGCAAAACCAAATCAATACCTAATATTAGATATATCAAACTAATCACTAATCCAAACGAAATAATCTTTTCATCAAAAAATAGGCGGATTTTTAACCCCCCTCACGGAAATTTAAGTTTACTGATCTTTGAAGGTGCGTTGCCATAAATAGGTATACGGATGAATATATTTTTTATTCAGCTACCATCCAACAGATGGCGCTGAATATCGGTAGACACGACAAAGCCCATCGTTTTGAATGACTACCTTCGGCTGCTGACATCGGTTCAGTAGGCCCTACGCCCTAACCTTACACGGCCCTATGCACGTGAGGCGGAGGACAATTTGTTTCTCAACAAACCAAAAATCAATATGTAATATTAGATATAATAAACTAATCCAAACAAAATAATCTTTTTATAAAAAAATGGGGGATTTTTCGCCCCCTCACAGAAATTTAAGTTTCTTCATCTTTGAAGATGCGTTCAAAGCTCATTTTTGACTAGCTAAATTTTATGTGACCTATGATAATACTTTGCAAAGAACCGCCATCTATGGGACGGTAGACCAACTGAACGATTTTTTTTGTCTAATTGAAAATGCACAGAATCAGCTTAACACGTTGACTGCCACCTTTTTTCGGTTGGTTTTACCCATGAGCCAGTAGGTTGTATAATGGTTAATGTTATTTTGGTAGTATAACTTCGTAAAATCAGTTATTGAGGTATTTTCGTAAAATGTTTTTTTAACTAGATTTTTTGTGGCTCTTCCAAGAGCCGACGGCACTGACTTACAAGTCGGTTTCCTGAGTGCCAGCTGGTGCTTACAAGAGTCGGAAGGTAACTATTTGTTTTTATAATAGAAATAAACTAAACTAAAATAAAATATTAAAAATAATTTTTGTAGCTCAAAATAGTAGAGAACATATAAAAGTATAACAAAAACTTTTCCGGTAAATAATACACCTAATGTGATAAAAATAAGAACTGAAACAACTTTTTTTTAGAATAAAAATATGAATTTGTGGTGAATGCATACTATTTTTAGTGCAAAAAATTATTTGTGAATAGTCTTGCACTCCAAGCAGAATCCTGGAACATTACGGCATGTTCTACATTCGTAAATCGTTTGGGTACGGATTCCCTTCTTGCTAAAAGACTGGCATCTTTTTCTGGATGCTTGTTTTTTACCATCTTAATCACGTTTTACTAATTTGTGGCCTTGAGTGCCTTCAGTATTGTACCTTGGCTCTGATAAGAGACAGCGGCACCGGCGAACATCTCGCGTTGACGCTTATAAGAGCCAGCGGCAGCAAACGTGTTAAAATCATTTAAGAAAGGTACACGGATGTATATATTTTTTTCAGTTACTATATTAGCACAAAATAAAATGTATGGGTCAAACGAAAGCAGTTTGTTGTCATCCAGCGGATTAACAAAATTAATCCGATGAAATTAGCTTCACTAGATTATTTAGCACACTTTAAATGCGAGTTGGGGTGGATTAAATAATATATAGTATGGTAAAATTATCTTGGCAAGTTTATTTAGTAAACACCTTCATAGGGTACCACGGTTATATAATAAAACACTGACGTAAGTATCGTAAGTAATAGAGGTATCTTTATTTTCGACATTCTATAACAAAAAACAAAATCCAATCGATATAGACCATCTGTAGGGATGAACTCTATATAACTCAAATTTAGGTAAAAACAAATAGAAATAAAAATACATCATTTTAAATGTAGGGACTCGCAACAACTACTTTTTAGTTCATATAGTTAATGTTTGTAGTGAACAGCAGCTTCTGCTTGGATTTCTTCTTCTTTTTGCCGGCGCATTGAAAATCTGAAAGAAAACAATAATTTATTTTCACAATGGCAAACATCTTGAACGGGCGGAGTCAATGTCAGGTGGGTTAAATTGATATAGTTTGGTGAAATTAACTTGGTAAGATTATTTGGCATATACCCCGATCGGGAATAGTCGAGGTCGTATGGTCAATTAAAGGTGGTATGGGGAAAATTGCTTCTGTTTATTCAGCAAATATCTCTTGAACGGAAGGTCAATGTCCGCGGATTGATTAAACGATATCGTCCGGTGGAATTAAATTGACAAGTTCTGTTGGCAAACACCTCGTCACGGGGGACAGCTGATGTGTTGTGGACTAGTCAGCAGCCGTCAACGCTATAACAAAATTGTAGCACTATACACTGGGCAGTAAAATATCCATCACAACCATGACACCTCCGCCAGTCGATCACTAACCACCATGCAGCAAGTGTCTATTGACGTTTTATCATATTGTGCCGGGTATTGACATGATCAGAGAACAACTTCTCGCATTATCGTTATTACGTCGTCGATTGAAGAGGGAGCGAAAAAATAGACTTATTTGGGTGAATCCGATTAATCAAAGGAGAGGGAAAGTTGCAGCTTCTCCAATGTTTTGTCCCACACTATGAGCTTTGCTTGAACAAAATGAATTAATCATTCATTGTCAATTACAATACCCATTTCGGCCATGATCAACGCACACCAGAGTGGGCCGTCGGTAGACTGGACGATGAGTGTCTCCGTTTAGTCAATTACGCGCTCGCCAGGTGTCGATGAAACATCCGATAACTGTAGTGGCAGTGGGCGGCTGTATTTCTACCGTCGGCGTTAGAAAAATCCAATCGTCCATTTTTCCGCTGAATGTGTACGTCGCAATAAGATCCCACCCGCTACCACTGCCACGGCGTCGACGAAAAAAAAAACGATCGGAATAAACCGCCAAATGTTTCCGGCTTTATGGGTCTACTAATCAGCCGCCGTGCGATGTTGCGATTGTCCGAAGGTGGTAGATAGTCTCTGATTGTCGAAGAATGTGTGTTTCGTGCGGTGTCCCCCTACATCCCCCTATAGTCCCACGGTACCCATGGGTGTTTAGGCCTGAGGCCTTCGTGGTGGGTTAAGTTTAAAAAAGGAGGTGTGGGTTAATTAACTTCTATTTATTCAGCAAATATCTTGAACAGGTGTTGTCGATGTCCGATGACAGATAAAAGGTTATAGTCAGGTGAAATTAAATTGACAAGTTCTGTTGGCAAACACCTCGTCAAGGGAGGGCAGTTGCTGTGGAATGGATTAATCGAAACAGTCTGGTCAAATAATAGTACAATTTATTATACAAATTATTTCCAAGATAAACAACATGGCGCCCTTGAGGTGTATTCACGAACAATGCAGATGCCGCATTAGATGTAGAATATTGCATGACAGTTAACCGGTACGTTCTGGTAATTTATAATGTCAAACGGGAGTCGATGTCGTGGGGTCAATTAAAGGATAGTGTGGTGAATTGAATTTTAAGACTTTGCCAGGCAAACACGAGTGGATTAAAGGAGGTCTGCTAGTTATCCGCACTATGGTAAAAACTTAGCAGTTAAAGTCGTCGGGTTTATTAAACGATATAGTATGGCAAAATCAACTTTGCTTCGACTTTTTATCTGGGAAACTACAATTACAAATATTCAAGAACTCCAGAGACCAACACATCCAAAATACACCTACCATCTTCCGCATTATCTGCCTTCACAGTTAGAGCCTGCGCGACAGCATTCCCAAAACTCTCCCTAAACACCGGCGGTCTCTGGAACCACTCAGTGTCTCCATCATCACTCGGAGTACTCGCTTTCGAAGGTACCGCCATAGTTTTGCTGCCGGCGGCACATATAAAGCGACCTACATCGGCTGTGGTGCGAGCTTTTTTGATCGGCCAGCAGTTGGGACGAGAGGTGGAAGACGATTGTGGGGGGTCTTTGGCGTTCGCCAACATCTGGAACAAAACAAATTCTGTCATTTGCTAATCTATGTTTTAAACAGAGTGCGGCAGTATAACTTCCTGTTTTCCGCTTCCGCTCATGTCGTAGCGGAGCGCTAGTGTTCTCGTTAAAGAGGCGGGTCTATAAAGTTTTACTTAAATTTCGACTCTAGAATTTTACTTGTTACAATGCAAAGATATAATATTTGAACTGTATAATAAAATAACTTGTTCTATTGCAACATAAGGGATTTGTAGCAACATAACTACATCCGTCAACATGCATTGAAACAGTGAGGAGTGTGCTTTTGCCGTTGAGGCGTACTTTTCGAGCGGATGTTCTGTGATCGCAACCCGCGTGACTTTCGGCATCGCTATAATCTAACCCCGCAAATGCAACAAGGCCTTCAACCTATCGGATCACCTAAAATATTGAAGCAGTGAAAGCTTCAATGTTGATACCACCACGGTGTTCTACGTGCAAACATTCATCTGCCCTTGGGTTTGAACTTTCCGGTCGTTTTGTGAGGAGATTTCTTCATGATGATCATTTCCATGCGTACAAGATGCATTTGTACAGGAACTTTCTGAACGTGATTTCAGTTCTCGAATAGAAGCACACGCTCACACGAGCGTCTTCTCGAAGTCGTCCCTAAGGACGCTAATCTTTTTTTTCAGTGATCTAGCCCATTTTCCGTCGACAAACAAAAACATGTTCTACTGGACTGACACCTATCCTCGAGAATTACATCAACAATTACGGGGATTTTTTCCAGGGCTAGATGAGTTGGACTTACGGGACGTGTGGTTCCAACAAAACGGTACTACGGCACACACTTCAAAAGCATCGATGGCTATTTTGAGGGAACACTTCCCAGAGCGCCTCATCTCAATTATTGGTGATTTGGAGTGGCTATCCCGATTTGGCCCATTGTGATTTTTTGTTGTTTTTTTTTTAAAATCTCGTGATTATGTAACCTGTCCAAGGAAGAACTTTCCAACATAATGCCTGCTATGCTGGCAAGAGTCATGTCAGACGTCAGAAATTGGTTTAGTCAGCGAATGGAGAAAGGGGGACGTAACCTATCTGATTTGATCTTCAAAACCATGTAAAACAAAGCTTTAGGCATGCGCATACGTTATACAACAAAATAAAAATTTTCTGAATCATACAGTGGGTTTTAATAAGTTTTGAAAAAGGTAGTTAAGCTGCCGCACCCTATATTAGGTTCCAAGGAAATATACGTAAAATTTCGGAAGCACGAAACTGGTCATTCATTTATTGAGAATCAAAATGTTGGAACTTCTGCAGTAATCAAATGTATGCAAACTTTTTGTGCCGCTGACTCATTAGTATCCGTGCATTCATCGTCACTAACACATTGGTCCCGTCCATCACAATGTAGCGCTACTGTAGCGATAATTTATTTTCTGCTGAACGCATATGATCACTTGGAGCGCTACCGGAGCGGTCGCCATTTTATCCATCATAACCAAAATATGACCCGCTCTTGATCAAGTGATACATCAAATACTGTTTTACGGGGATCAACATATTGTGTTTGCTTTGACCGGTTTGAAAACAGTGTAGATGTCTTGTTAAAATGAAGCTGATAGAGTAAATTATGATAGAAAATTTCGAAATTGAGGAAGAAACGGGGGAAATGGAAGAAAAGAACGAAAATATTACTTACGAGTATAAAACAACCTATATTCGGTCAATGACTTACCAAATGTTCATTCTGTGCTATAGAATTGGTAAAATTTATATTAAATCTCTACCCATATCATTTTTTAAGAGCCGAAAGCTGAAAACTAACTAGCCCAGTGACACGTACCAAACTACAGTTCAGCGGTTAGATCGCTTCTGAAAACCGCTAAAGTAGTGCTATTCGGGACCATTGGCTGCTCTGTCAGTCACTATTGACCGAAACTGAACTATTCCAATCTATAAACTATAACTATAAGTCTACTTTCAACTTATTATTCAACCGCTGTCAGTCGTTTTGTGTCAAATTATATAAGATTTGTCTGGTGCGGAATGCATCGAAAAAAATTAAATATGTACATCCTCGAGTTTCTTAGGCTGATGTTCAATGTGCTAAATTTCATTCTCATACATGCGATTTGATACTGTCATATTAATCTAGTTTTATCGTTCCACATTTACGAAGGTGGTCTGATAGGTACTTAGCCTACAAAAGTACTTAGCCTCCAAAAGTAAAACGAATATTTTGGAAAAGTTACGATTTATTTCTCAACATAGTCTCCTTTTAGCTCGATACACTTGATCCAGCGATGCTCCAACTTCTTTAATCTGTCTGGGAAATAGGTTTTCTAGAGGTCTGTAAGGTAGGACTCCCATGGCGATAACCTCCTCATTCGACTTAAAAGTCTGCCCGTCGAGTGATTTTTTCAAATTTGGAAGAGTACTTTTTTCTTCGAAAAATGGTGCCGTTGTTTCTGCAATTCGGCGTCGAATCGGCCCAATTATTAGGCATAGTAGATCCCTGTGACCGTTTTGCCCTTCTCCAGGTAGTCGATGTAGATCACACCTTGTGAATCCTAGAAAACGGTGGCTATCACCTTTCCGGTTGGTAGGACAGTCTTTGGAACACATTCGCCTGGTGAAATCCACTGTTTTCGACTGTTCCTTTGCCTCTGGTGTGTACCAGTCGATCCAGGTTGCGTCGATGGTCACGAAACGACGAATTCGAATTGCGCTTGAACAGCGTCATACACCGCTCTAAAATGGTCTTACGGTTGCTGTTGTTATCCAAGGTGAGCAAACGCGGCACTCATTGCGCGGACAGCTTTCTCATGCCGAATATTTCATGCAGGATTTGACTCACGCGGTCTTTTGAGATGCCAACTGTTTCAGCCATCTGGCGCACCTTTAAGCCCTGTTCGTACAGCTGTCACCAACCTGTCAATGATCATGTCAAAGATCCCGCCACACAAATTCCGTGCCCTCTGCTACGCTATATAGAGGAAATTCACACGGAAGGATACCTGACAGTCACCGACTGTGGATTGTTAAACCAATTTTTGACAGTCGCCATCCAAGGAGATGAGTCACCATTCACAGCATCCAAGTGCTCTTTGATTTCGCTACGCGATTTCCCTTTCAAAATGAATAATCGAATCACCGACCTACAGTAATGGACAAAAGTATATAGACAAATTAATATTGTTCTGTATTTCTTTTTTAACTTGTTTTATTAATACACCAACCTGTATACATAATTCGTTATAGCATAATACTTAGTTTATACATAAATAAATTCATTAGACTCCCTTCAACAAAAAATTAATTGAAAAAAACTGGAAGTATGAAGGACAAAAATATATAGACAAAGCAAAGAATTATAAAAAAAGGAAGCAAAGTTCATTGAATTATAGAAAACCAACCATGTTCGTGTTAATATTTTGTAGCATAACCATTATTATCAATCACCGCCTGGCATCGTCCCGGCATAGATTGTAGAAGTTTCTTGATATAAGATTCATCAATCTGTCTCCACTTTTGCTCTAAAGCGGCAAAAAGTTCATCCTTGTTTGAATAATTTTTATCTCGTATTTGCTTATCTAATTATTCCCATAGATTTTCAATGGGGTCATATCGGGAGACTGTGAAGGACATTTGAGAACTGGTATTTTTTCATCCAGAAAGAATTTCTTTGCGAGATTTGAAGTGTGCTTCGGGTCATTATCTTGCTGGAACATTGATCTTAAGGGCATATTGTCTTCCATATAGGGTAACATGACATGCTTTAGTATGTCTGTGTAAACAAACTTATCCATAATGCCATCTATTATATGTGAAGGTCCCATCCCAAACCCTGAAAAGCACCCCCAAACCATATCAGACCCGCCTCCATGTTTGACAGTGGGCAAAGTGTACTTGGGGTTCAATCTTTGTCCACTAGGACGTCGAACGTAATGAACACCATCTGATCCAAACATATTGAACTTAGATTCGTCACTGAAACATACCCTCTTCCAGTCACAGATGCTCCAATCAAGATGCAACCGTGCAATTGTAATCGGTCCTTACGGTTTTTCCTCGAGATTAGCGGCTTCTTACTCGGGCGACGTACAAATAACTTCAAATCATTTAATCTTCTACTTATAGTTTTCGTAGAAACACTGACAATTCCTTTGTCTCGATTTCGGCTTTTATTTGTCTTGGGGTTTTAAACGGATCTTTGGACGAAATCACTTTTATTAATCTAACTGATCTAGCATTTAGTTTTCTAGGCCGACCACTTCTCTTAGTGGCTTCCAAAATACCTTTTTGTTTATATTTGTTCAATATTGCCCAAGCTGCTTTATGCTTCAGCTTCAAATTTTTGGCAATGTGATGAACACAAACTAATCCTCTTCTGACACGAAACTGTACTAAACTAATGTTGAAAAGAATTTGTCTACATATTTTTGTCCCTCATAAAAAGTGCTTATATTCAGACTTCTATTGCGTTCATTGCAGATAATGTAAAAACAAGGAATTTAGTTTTTCTACTAATAACGCATTTGTTTATAGAGCAATGAAGTATGAATTCGTTTTCTAAAGGTATTTAGGTAAATATTCACATTTGTCTATATACTTTTGCCCATTACTGTATATTGCTCTTTCCATTTATCTCTTAAATCCGCGGACACAGTCGCTTCCACACGCGGTCAAAACAAAACTGCGTATCCAATCCGGTGAAATTTTGACAGTACCCGTGTTGTACGACAATGTACTACACGGAAGACAATTGCTCTTGCGATAGTAGCACCATCCGGCGGTGAGGCTAAGCACCTATCGGACCGCCCTAGTAAATGTAGTTCCATTATTATTTTATGCATGCAAAGTTGGCGGTCGAGTCTGAAAATTAAAAATACCGGGTCCAATTGTCTACGAATTGGTTTGTTCAACTTCATATTGTACCCCCTTTCGTTTAGAAACTTGAAAAAATAAATAATTGTAGTAGAGGAGACTGACCTTGAAAAGTAAAAACAAAGCTTATTTATTAATTAGCCTCACTGTAATCTAGCACAAAATGTTCAAGAAATAGTCATAAATGGTTCCATTTCTCAAGATAACATTAGGTGCATTGGTGTAAACGAGCGCTAAATTTTTATTGCCATCCCCCAACACTTGATAAACAAGATGATGCATAAAGCTCATCAAATTTTATGAAAAGTGCCGTCGTAGAAATATTGAAATGATTTTTTTATTCGGAATTATGTTCTTCAGACCTTCCACAATATTCGTAAAAATCATAATACTACGAGATCTGTAAATTAAGTGATGGGACCGACAACGTAGCGCTCGATCTGGAGTCGGGCTTGGAGGGGAGACAGGGGAAGATGTGATCCACATTCAGAACAAGATTGAACTCGTGACATTTGGTTGCCCGTCGCGATTTTTTTTGTGAAAGTTTTTACCATTGTGACATCAAATTCAAGCAACGGTGTGCTATCAGGTTTTGCTTCAGACTTGGGCACAGTGCAACGAAAACTCTTGCTAATAGGCCTATGGAGATAGTTTTGTCAAGAGCCCAGGTTTTTCGGTAGTTTAAGAATTTTTAGATGGGAGGGAGTCGATTGAAGATGAACCACGAAGTGGAAGGCCTTCACCTTCAAGAACCGATGAAAAATCACGAGAATCGGGAAAGTGTTAAGTTTCACTCACACCTCCATGCATCAGATTAAAAATAAGTGGGTGTTGCATTACGATAATACTCCTTCTCACACAGCAATGTCAATAAACTAGTTTTTGGCCAGTAAAAACATTCATGTGGCTCCTCAGCCTCCTTAATCGCCTGGTTTGAGTCCTTGTGACTTTTTTCTCTTCCCAAAGTTGATAAGTCACCTCAAGGGTGACCATTTTGAGACAGTCGAAAACATTCAAACAGCTGTAACCGACCAGCTGAAGGCTATTCCAGTATCGGAGTTCTTAGCACAGTTGTGAGGAGTGGAAGAACCGTCTCCACGGCTTTGTGGCTTCAGATGGAAGTTATTTTGAGGGCGACAACATTGTAATATTTGGATAAAAAAAATGAAAAAATCAATCTCACCACCTAGTTTAGAGACCTATGTTTTTATAATTCAAAATTATGTTCATTAAGCTCATACAGCTTCACAAACAGTTTTAAACGAGGCTAAAATAACCTTAGGAAAAAAGGCCTCTCTATTCTCTGTAGCTAATGAAGCTTTCATATTTTGATAACGATACGGTTTGTCCTGCTACTGCGAAAAATCGAAGGAAGGTCATAACGAGGCAGCAAAACAAGTGCACCAAAAACTCTAATCTTTAAATTTGTATTCTTTTTCAAAATTTAAAAAAAAAAGATTTTTTTCAAGTCTCCGATTCTTGGTAAGATATACATGTTACTCACTGTAGCAAACGATGGCCCAGCAAAGGATGCGGCTCTCTCTAACGATCCCACTCCCCAACCACCGTTACTACTCTCCTCACTAAGATGCGTGCTTTCGCTCTCACTCCTCTCTCTAGTCGCATTCTCCGCTTCAATGCGCGCCATGGCATCCTCAAAACGCGGGAACTGCACGTCTGATTCCAGCTGAATGGGTTTGGCTGGGCGTGGCAAGCCGATGATACGATTTGTCTCCAGTTCGATGCGTTTCTCGCGGCGACGTTCTTCTTTCGCCCGACGCTGGCGGCGATGTCGACGTTGCTCTAGTTGATCTGGAAAAGGGTGAATTCTTTGAAAAAAAAAAACGAGGGGAAATAAACATTGTTGAAAGATTCGATATTTGCAGCATTAGTCGTTTTCAAAGACCATGATTCAAGAGGTATTCAGTGTCGTCTAAGGCTCTTGGGATGATGGAGTGTCCATTGCAAGGTGATTCTTAATCTGTTCTGTAATTGGTATCAATCCGATTTCCAGATTTGTGTTTTGTAGAGCAATTATGTAACGGTATGTTTTTGTATATATTGCGTTTTATAACACACACAGTATCGGGCAATATTAAAGAGACTAGATTAATTATGACTTTTATGGAATACAGAAATATAATGAATTTTTGTAATTGAGTTAAAAGATTTATGTAATTAAGTAGTTTCAAATGACACTAAAATAAATTCATAATCATTGTTTCCAAAGATTAATTAGAGAAAATAAAAAAATATAAAAAATCTATGCGACAAAATTAGAAAAACTTCATCCTTAAAATACATTTGTATCCTATATTAATGAAACTAAACTAATACTTCATCCAGTACCCTTTGTTCTCAATGACTTTTTGACATCTATTTCGCAATGAGATTGGAAATTACAGCTGGATCCATTGATTTCCAAGCATTTTCAATCTCTTCAAATAACAGCAGAATTGCTGATATTTTTGGTTCGAATCTTTTTCTCAATTATCTTCCAAATATTTTCAATAGGGTTCAAGTCCGGTGATTGCGGTCGCCATTTTAAAACTTGAATTTTATTTGTCACAAACTATTCCTTCACAAGTTTAGCAGTATGTTACTGTTATTATCATGTTGGAACGTAAACTTTAGCTGCATTTCAAAATCGGCGTCAGGCAACATTACATCTTTATATATTTTTAATACATGAATCGATCCCTGGTGCCCTCAATTTTATGGATTGGACTTATTCCGTAACCCGAAAAAACAACCCCAAACCATTATATTGCCGCCTCCGTGCTTAACGGTACCAGAAACATATTCTGGATCAAGTCTTTTATTTAGATGAAACTACCGGAACATCCAACTGAGCCAAAATTAGATTTGCAGACAGCCGCGGGTTCTGTTTTGAACTTTTTCTCTTCCGGCCACCTCTCTTAAGGTTAACAACCCTTCCACGGAGTCGAAAATTTTGTATTGTTCTTGAAACCATTTGTTTATTTGCATTAAATTGCTGTTTTATTAATTTTTACGAGCGATCTGATTTATAAGCTTCTATAAATTTTGCTTTTAAATCTATGGAATAATGTTTTCTACGAGGCATTGTTAATAATTTTCTGTTGTTTCAATCCAACACTTGACCAACTGCACCTCAGCGAAACTAAATACAAAACGAGTCAGTCTAATTTTTTCGCAGGTATTTCTTTAAAAAAAAAAATTCTACCACCAGGTACACAAATAAACTGTTGATAATGAAATTCTTTTGGTCGCCGGTAATACACTGCTTAACAAAAATTAATATCATTTTAAGTACAGAAAACTGGAATGGACAAATAGAACAGTCTCTCTAATTTTGTCTGATACTGTATGCCCGATGTCTTTACTATATTAGTTCTGTTGTACTGTTTCTGTAATTGGGTGTACCCCGTTAGAATAACGATTATTATTATATTATTAAGTCTACGGTTACGAATTCTGACGAAACTTTGTGTTGACGAGTTCTGACTAATTGGTCCAAGTAAACAAACACATGTCTTCCAACGAGCGTGCTAACACTGGCAGCGACCAGTACGTCAGAGTATACACGACGTCGTTAGAACCATTTGAGCGTTCAAACAGATTTAATTTTTTCGTACGATCTGCGTCTTTTTTGGCGTACTTGGTTATTTCACCATGGACAACGACAAATTGATAACTTTTGTGTACCAAAACAGTTTATTGTGATATATGGGAGGCAAACAATTATCAATAATAACCTCTCAATCTGTCCTTTGGCATCTCTTCTAGAAAATAAAGGATTGGCAGGTTCCGTTTTCCACCATTTAACAACAGCAACATCAGTAAAGGACTTATTTGCTGATTGGCAGAAATGTACTGACTACTAAAATTTCAGACAACGCGCACAGTTTAACCGCCTTGTTTGGATGAGGATCTCGTTTTTAAGAAAATGAAATGTTATAAGTGGCATGTGGGAAATAAAAACGACGAAAGGTGACATTCGTTGTTAAATTAGGACTCTCTAGTAGGTAGGTATTCTTGTGCGCCATGTTGTTTCCTAGCAATGGAGAAGAAGACGTCAGCTATCAAACCAGACGCAAGTTCAAGTTAGCATACTGTCAATGCTTCTTATCCTCCAGAGGCTGAAAAAACACGGCGGTCGAGTATACCCCCTTTTATAGTCCCTTAGCCAACTATACCTTTTCCCTTAGGAATAATAGATGAGTTGTCAAAAAAGAGGCATTTTACACATGAGCGATATTTTTCCGGTTAATAATTATTGGTTCAACTTTTGATTCAGAATTTGTTCTATAAACAATGAGAACTGCAAAGTCGTGAAACAAGGCTTGAAGTTAATAAATATGCAGCAATGAGGAGACCAAGCAATCACTCCTCCTTCCTAAAAAAAAAACACACAACTCTCCCGACACTAACACATGTTTAAAGACTGTATATGCAAATAAGGTATCTTCACAATGAGAAGCCCTCAAGAAAAGGTAAAGCCACTTTGTGTGTCACTAATAACTGTTTTAGTTATTGATAAAATGTAGATTTCTATCAAGAGACTCCGTGATACGCCAATAAGTCTACAAAATGCCAGAAATCAAATTTATTTACCAAAGTTCAAATTTCTCAAAGCCTACTAGTATTCTAGGCAATGAGTACTCAACACTTTGGATAATTTCTAGTACCTGTCAACAAATCTACATATATATTCTATCAAATTAAAAGAAGTTACTTTTGTAATCAATCATTTTCAGCTCAGTAAAACCTTAGTAAAGGGTGTCCAGTGGGAAATTTCGCATTTTGATTAAAGAAAAAAATACAAACTTTGTAATTTATAGTAATATCTATTACTATCAATACATTCGTAAATTCGGCGGGTTTCATTTCTTAAATATCATTCCGTCCAAATGTTTGCCATCCCTTGGGACACAGTCTTCTAAAGCGCAAATTCTGAAACCCTCTCTTGCTAAGTTCCGGAGTGATGTTTATTTCTCGTCAAATGTTGTCTTTAAGCTCCTCCAGTGTTCGTGGATTATTGGAATACACTTTTGACTTTAGATAACCTCACAAAAATAATCGCATGGTGTGAGGTCGGGTGACCTAGGAGGCCAGTGAATGTCTCCAAACTTCGGCATAACTTTTTGAGGAAAAAGTGCTTTCACCGTGTCGGTCGATTCTCTGGAAGTATGGGTAGTGGTCCCATCCTGTTGAAACGATGTCATGTCCTTGTATCGATCGGAATTGACTGTCAAAACATGACCGTTTTCATGTTCAAAGAAATTAATATTAATAATAATTGTTGATGTTTCTCTTTTAGGTTCGTTGGTGCCCAATATGTACAATTTTACTTGTTCACATAACCGTTTAAGTGATAAGGTCTCGTCACTGAAAACAACGTTATCGAGTCTGCACTGCGTAGGAAAAAGATTCAATTTCCGTTTAGCACAAGATTTCGGTAATACGTAATCACTTTTCTTTAAAGCATGGACTGATTGGATTTTGTAACGATGAAAACTCTTTTTTTCTTCACTATGCAATGTTGACCTAGGGTTTCCCAAAGCAGCGGGATGCTTCCGTACAGAACACCGAGGATTTGCAATGTACGAATCACTTACTCGACACACATTTTCTTCGGTTGATACAGTAGGTGTGGTGTAGAGTAGAGCCTGTTTCATGGAACCTCTTAATCCACTATTTCAACAGGTTCTTACTTGGGGCATCTTTTGGTCGGCGAATGTTGTATCGTGTACAAAATTTCCGAAGGGCAGCTGCGTATGAATCACCACTCTTAAAGTAAGTCTCGATAGCAAAAGCACGTTGCGCTCCGGTCCAACGTTCCATTGTGACGATTTAACCCGCACGCCGAACGCGTCGATCAAGACCTTTTCCCACTTCCTCGTCTTACGGTGAACTTTCCCACTGGAACCCTGTAGCTCCGCGTCAAAGAAACTTTTCTGAAAAGTCCAAGACGTACCTAAAAATTGGTTCTTCAAAACGATCTGATTGTAGATATGATTAATTGCAAACTTATTAATCATAATCCTTTTAAAAAAAGCTCTTGCACAAACCTTTAAATGCATCCAAAGTATCTTGGCTAACAATAGGTTTTCTCAGCTCAATTTCAGCGATTTCAAACTGGCAAGTTACTGGCAAGTGTTGAAGGTACCTCAACCTTCTTCTCAAATCGTCCGTCATTGAGCCACCTTCTTTTTCTAGAATTCTTCCTGTTATGGTTTTTGGTGCATTCTCCAAAGAGCCGTAAGTATGCTCCAACATCCTCGCATTGATGGCGTGCAGATAGATATGTTGGCCGTCAGATGCTGAAAACAAGGGTTTTATTACTTTTTGCCATAAAGGGTAGAAAAAACGTCTCTCTAACGGAAAACTTGTCAAGTCCGTCTGGGGGGTTCGCGTTTTTTATAACAAATGATACTTTGAGGCATCATTCAACTAATTACAGGGTGTTTCAGAACTAAAGGATCAAACTTCTAGGGGTTATTCAGTGTAACAGTAGAAAACATTCGAGTATAGGGACCCATATCCGGAAGAGTGTCACTACGGCAAATTTTAGAAAGACGATGAATTGTATAAATAGGATTTAATGAATTTAATTTTTGCCTTTTATATATGATATCATCACAACAATTGTTCAAAATGTCTTCCTCCAACCTGAATACACCGATTTAAACGTCGCACATGACTTCGGCGGACTCGACTAAAAATTTGATACTCGTTTTGAATGATTTCAAATGCTGCTGTAATTCGTCCAATTAAGTCTTGCTCTGTTTCTACTGGAGTTTCGTAAACCAAAGACTTTACATGTCCCCACAGGAAAAAATCTAGCGACGTTAAATCGAGTGACCTAGGAGGCCAAGAATCTGCTCCACCTCTGGCAATCCAACGGTGCCCAAACTGCTGAGCCAAATACTTACGTACTTGTACAGCAAAGTGAGCCGGCGCTCCATCATGCTGAAACCACATTTGATGTCGAACGTTCAATGGAACATTTTCCTGGAACAACTTCCTCCAAGAAACGCCGGTAAATAGGTACTGTTAACCGTTCCGGTAGAAGGTATGGCCCAATCAAATAATCATCAACAATGCCTTACGTTGACAGACCAACGTTGCTGATGTTTTCTAGGAAAAATTGCATGGGGATTTTCTTTATCCCAAACGTGGCTATTCCTACTATTAAAAATACCGTCTCTTGTGAAAGAGGCTTCATCGGTCCATAAAACAGCGTAAAAAATTTGGTTGTGCAGCGATTTGATGAAGAAGCCACTGACAAAATTGAACTCTAGGATGGTAATCGGCTGCAGTCAATCCTTGAACTTTCTAGAAGTGGTAAGGATAAAGTTGTTGCTCGTGTAGCACCCGCCATACGGAAGCGTTACTCGTATTCATATCCTCAGCAATGTGACGTGTGCTACTTGACGGTTCGTCGGCAACTCGCTGAAGGACCTCTTCTTCAAATTCGACCGTTCTTACTGTTCGAGCAAAACCAGTACCATGCATGTTGGCTTTAAACATGCCTGTCTCGGAGAGCCGCCGATGAATAGCTATAAACTTTTGTATCCCGGATGCTGTCGTTCGGGATAACGTTCTTGATACAACTGCGCTGCTACTCGTGCATTGCAGCTTGTTGTTCCGTATGCCAAATGCATATGCGCCAATTCTTGATTTTTAAAGTTTTCCGTTAGCAACAATTAATTTTTGTTAAATTCTTGCAAACTTCACAGATACGATAGTACGACTAAGGCGATATGGAATGCCGCTACAAAAAACAATCTCTGTTATCGTTTTTAAAGATAACAACACACAAGCGCCGGATATGGGTCCCTATACTCAAATGTTTTCTGTTACACTGAATAACCCCTACAAGTTTGATCCCATAGTTCTGAAACACCCTGTATAAACGTGATGTAAGTAAAACTGTAATTCAAAATTGCATTTTTAAACGCTCAAGAAAGGTAATTGACATTGATTGAGTGATTAAAGTGAGACGAAATCTACTTACACTGATAAAAGTAATGATATTTTGACGGTTGATTGATGACATTTGTACAAATGCTCTGTTTGTCATTGATCTCATCAACCACTGAATTAATATCTAAGTTATTCACAGCCTTTCCCAAAGCTTCCAAAATAATGTTTTCGTTTGGATTAGTTGTCTGATCAAAAGTATCATTATAAGCAGCTCCGAAAATCTCTTCTTCTGTCACTGTCCTCATGTTAGTCATATCGACGTTTTCGTATGTTGTGGTAGTTTCTTTATCAGATTCTTGATCTATTTCTGTGATATTGGTAGTTTCAGCATTTTGAGTATCGCCTTTTTGTCCTTCTAGCACTTGATCTTCGCGTTCTTTTAGAAGAGTTATTGCTTGCTCGACGAAACACCTGACGACAATAGAGTGAATTATTATTCAAGTTATCGTCAGGGTTAAACTGTTCAGCAAAAGATTCTAAACATTATATGAAACATGTGAAGTGTAGATTTCCACTAAAGAGACCTACGAATACATACGAATAGGACTATAATATTACAGAAATCAAACTGATTTACCAAAGAATACATTTCACAAAGCCTACTATGTTAAGCAATGTGTACTCAACATTTTGGGAATTTGGTTTTTCAATAGCAGGTTAACAGTATTAATATAGCTTTCGTTCGTTTGACCACAGACGGGCAACCATGGACAGCTGTTTCGTGCTATTTGGCAACTGTTCAACATGGCGTAGGTAACTTTAACCAAAGGACCCGGTATTGGTGTTATAGAAAGTTAGGGTTAAACCGCATTTTTTCTTGACAGTGACATGACACGAGGTACGACAATCTACGAGCCCCTTCCCACTTCAGTTGGCCCAACTATTGAAATCTTAGTTTTTTTCTTATCAAACACAAATAATGAAAATGTAGCAGGGTGTTATAGGTTTAAAATATTAACAATGAATATTTTGATAATATATAGTAGAAAACACCAACTTTATCACTCCCTAATCAAATTTGCAGCATAAAAATAACATATGTTGCAATTACAGCATATCAACCTATTTTCGTTGCAATGCATAACGCCTAGGTGGCTGTGAAAAATAAAAGCCATGACAATTGTTTTTATTAATCACAGCTGTCAGAATACGTTTAACACGTTCACTGCCACATTGGTCCTATAGGATCAACACTCATGTTGCCTCAGCAGGCCACATTGGTCCAATAGGGCCAACATATATTTTGACTTACCAAGCTATGTTGGTCCCATGGGGTCATCGCATTTTCTAATAACTGCTGGGCCGTTGGCGCTCATTTACCTATGTACGCCTGAAGAAATGGGCCAACATGGCCTAGAAGCTATATGCCACACATATAATTTCTTAGGTATTTCCATAATGAGGAATGTGGCCCCCATGAGACCAACGTTTTTTTTATATGGTGGCCCACTAGTGCTCAATGTGAAATATATGTTTGGCGTAGTGGACACATATTAAAAAATATGTCTGGCAGCGAACGTGTTAAAATAGTTTTGAGTAGTTAAGGTTTTCAAAATGGGTAGAGGAAAGGTTATTAGTGAGAAAATTCGGTTACTGATAATTAATTTTTTAATTCTGGGAAATCAAACTCAGAAATTGCAACTTTGTTAGACTTATCGCGGTACTGTGTGAGAAATATTGTTAGAAGATATAACGTAACTGGTTCAGTTAATATTAAGCCACGATATGTGAAAAAAAGTAATATCACAAATGCCGACCGAAGAGCATTAAGAAGAATAATCGTGAAAAACAGACGTGCCAATTATTTACAATTAAGTGCTCTGTGGAGTGACGCTGTTGGAAGGAGAATTTCGAGGTCCACAACTCATAGAGAGGCCCACAAACTGGGATTTAGCACTTGCAAGGTAAGTTTTCTTTAATGGAGTGATGAGGCCCGATTCGAAGTTTGTGTTGGTGACAGTCGCAGTAGAGTTATTCGCAAAAAAATAAAGCATTCCATGTTGACTGTCTGAAGAGAAAAGTGAAATTTCCAGCATCCATTATGGTCTGGGGCAGTATGTCATCAAAAGGAGTAGGAAAACATCATTTTATTGATGGAAATGTGGATACAAACAAATATTTTGCAATTTTAGAAGAATCGCTTTTACCAGTGATGGGAGAATGTTTGACATCCGGCCAAGATTTTGTGTTTCAGCAAGATGGTGCAGCGTGCCATACCTCAAAAAGGCTATACAATGGATGGAAGAAAATAATGTACCACTTTTGAAATGGGTTTCTAGCAGTCCAGATCTGTCACAAATTGAAACTTTGTGGCACGAGATGAAAAAGGTTCTACAACATCCTGCTCGTACAATCACCGAACTGAGACAAAAGCTACAAGAAATATGGAATTGTTTTACACCAAATTTTTGCCAAAACGTGGTTAACACTATGCCCCAAAGAATTTCAGCCGTAATATAAAATAAAGGTGATGTTATCCAATGGTAATCTTTCAATTGTTGCTTTGTTAACTTCGCGCATTTATTCGCACATTGTTTATTTGTTCAGATGTTTCTATTAGTTATAGGTCTAAGTGATTTCAAATATGTATTTTTTACGACTAGAGTGTATCTAAAACGTTTTTGAGAAAATAAATTGTTTTAGAAGTAAATAGTTTCGTCATGTTTAGTTTATAAAGGCATATTTTGGTACAAATCTTGAAGTGGGCCAACTGAAGTGGGAAGGGGCTCGAAGCTATAACAAATGTACAGTACAGGAAAATTTATACGTAGATGCAGTGTTGCCTCATCAACGATTACAGGTTAGTTAACCAGTGATTGAAAAACGAATTTTTGGGCAACTTATAGCCAACGTGCAAGTGATAGTTACCCAACTTGAAAGGTAACTTGCGATTGAAAAACAGAGTCTAAGGGTAAGAACATGGTGGAGCAGTTCATCACACCGTGACGCTTATCACCAACGTTACTAAATCGGCACAATATTAAATTACAATTCAATTTATTCAATACTTACCTTTCAGGGCAATCTTGATCTTCTTTAATCTGCCTATCCAACTCCTTCGATTCTCTCTCGATGATAGCGAGTACGTCCTTCTTCCTAGCCAATAGCAATTTAGAGTAGATATCAGCAGCGTCGCGTTCTGAGATCTCAAAAATTGCGTCCTCGTCTTTGATTGGCGTATCACAAGGATATGCGATCAGGCTGCCCTTAGGTCGTTTCATTAATTTCAAGGTGATTGAATCGCTAACGTTTGCGAGTGAGTACGGGATCGCGACCACGCTGAGGAAAAAAATAGATATTGTTCAATCCCACGCGTTTATTCAAAGAGGCCGCAGCCGCGCAGCCTATGTTCCAGGGTACTGCGACTGCTATGAGGAGCTTAGAGAAAGTTTGGTAATCCGATTTTTGAAGTGCCTTTGGTTAGTAGAACTGGGAAAAGCCACTTCAGGTAGGTTTTTTCTACCATCTTGATACCCTATGGACAAAGGAGCGGTCGTATCGGCCAGTTCTTGATGTTCGACACGGTCAGGATGGGAGGCGGTAGTCAGGCGGGTCTGTCTGGCAGGCACATCGCCCGGCGGTATCGTGGAGGAGAGCTCTGAGAAGCAAAGCCAGTTGGCGTAGCGGTAGAAGAGAGCTAGATCGCAGACTGCCCGCCGGTGCGAAAGGGTTCCGAGACTGTCAAGAAAAGGGTCATTGATCAGTCATACAGCCCTCTTCTGAACAGCATTGAGCATGGATCATGTAGTCGGGGCGGCAGCATCCAAAACATGTGAGCAGTACCCGAAGGTAGGTCTTATTTGGTCCGTGTACAGGGTGAAGAGGTCCAACCAAGTGTTGAACAATCGGGTGCGAAACCTAAAGGATCCAATTTTGTTGATGTTGCGCCATAGGTAAATTTTAGCGGCAACTTGTCTTCCCTTGAAAAATATACCTTATTGAGGTGTGCAATGATCCCTAATGACTCTTTCAAATATCGTTATCCCACACACCTGAAAAATTATAAAGAACTGAAATGTTATTTATCGAAAAAACATTTTGAGAAATTTCCTTGGCTGTCATATTCAGAGGAACTACAAGGGTTTTTCTGTAAATGTTGCTCGGTTTTGCAAAATTAGGAGGAGTACATAAATCAACTAAATTGGGAAAAACTTGTTACCGTACCACTAAAGAAATTTTCGAAATTGTATGGCAACCCCGGTGATTGTGACACACATGAGGACTCAATATATCATACAGAAGCAGTTTCAGATGCTACAAACTTTTAAAGATTTACGAAAATCCAGAGAATGATATAAGAAATATAATAGGTTCAGAGCGAATTAAGCAAGTATCAGAAAATCGGCAAAGATTGACTCCTATAATAGAATCGCCAAAATATACCACTTAGAGGCCATAGAGATAGGGGACGCCTTTTTCTAATGACAGCACGAATGGCGATGATGTCCTTAATAATGAAGGGATATTTAGAGAACTAATACGGTTTAGAATCGAGAGCGGCGACAATTTATTGAAAAAAAACTTATAGAACTCAAAAGCTCATGTTACGTACATAAGCAGCCGCATCCAAAATGAAATTATAGAATGTTGTGGCGAAGAAATCTTGGATATAGTTTTAAGTCGCGTCAGGCAAAGACAGTATTACAGTATTATATTTAACGAAACTACAGACATTAGCCATAAATCACAAATGTCAATCTTATTGCGGTATTGTTATCAAAAACTTATTTACGAGGACTTCATGGGATTTGTGGATTGCTACTCAAATTTTGATGAATGGAACCCAAACTCACAGGTCAAATTCTTGCTCAAACAGTCAGGCATTTCATTAAAACCAATAACTTAGACTCAAAACTATGTGTGGGCATTGGGTACTGATATGTGTAATCTAATGTTAGGTGAACCAAAGGGCACTGGAATGGAATTGCAAAAATGTTGCCAAATGCTCTTAAAAGCCTACGCGCATCATGCCTTGAATCTTTCGATTTCAAAAAGCAGCAGTGTCCAAGCAGTAAGAAATACTGTAGGCTAATGAAGGAAGTAATTGCGTTCTTCAAAGCATCCGCTAAAAGAAATACACTATTAAAAAGAAAATTAGACGGATATCAAATTCATGGTATGTGCAAAACACGATGGACCGAGAGACATGATTCTGTGCTCCAATTTGAAAGCAAATTCGAGAAAATTGCAGAGGTACTAAATATTATATCAAATTGGAAAGACCGCGAAGCTTCTTCAAAAGCGAACGAATCTTCGGTGGAACTCTATAGAAACAACTGCTGCTAAAATATTCAGAAGCGCTCAGTAGGACATAAACATGAATTTTTGCATGTTCTGTCGTTTGCTGTATTAACACACTACCGTAAACAAACGCCGCGTTTTGACAGGCTTCACAGTGAGGTCACCGCCCCCGACATATCATTTGATTGTTTTTTTTTGTTAGTCTGCTGTCGAGTTGTTGACATACCATTTGTTTGTAAAAATACAAAGTATGTATAGGTTATGTTTATTACTGCATCGAAAATAATGTGAATAAAAAAAGTATCACTTTATCACCTTGCAGCTTCCACTCCCAAGACTTTAGGAGATGTAAAACCTGTGTTTTAAGCAATATACTATATATAAAGTCATCATAAGGGCTCGCGCAGACAAACGAACGTTCAGCGTTCAAGCCGGGTTCGTCCGGTAAATTCCTCTGGGCTTACGAGTTCTAACACAGGCAGGAGACAGTCACGAACGCTGCGTTTCATTTTACGAAGATTACTTGTAGGTGAAACATGTATTTCGATAGTAAGTCTTCAGAAGACGAATCATTGGTTTTATGAAGTTTGGAAGAGTCTAATAAGAAAAAAGATACTGTATGCATCCGATAATTGTGAGAGAGATGAAAAAGGAAAGTTCAGTGTTCTTTTTCCTGCATTGCTTGAAGATGAATAATTTTTTATTTACTTCCGAATGTCATTAAGTAGTTTTAATGAATTTTATAAAAAAGGAAACAGAGAAACAAACTCCAATTGGAGAAAGGCTATATCTACAAAAAAAGATTGGTAGTATTTTCCCATTTCCGTGACTATAGTATTTCAAGCTATGCTGCATTTTTTGAAACTATTTTTATAGTCTCCGTTACTAAGATCATATAAAAAACGCCTTTCCCTTACTAAATCGAGGAATTTTTGTATGGAAGTCATCTTGCGAATGAGGCGTTCCACGAGCTCTTTGTATTGATGATTGCTCTTAAATTTAGAATGCTTAAGTATAAAATAAGGGTGAAGGAGTCATTTTGTACCAGTATAGATTCGAAATAAAAAGAACCGATATTTGAAATAGATGCATATTCCTTTTTATACAAGGTAGAGGTAATCTGTCTTTATACACCAATCACAAGTCTGCGTTCTTCAATAAATGATTTCTAAACATGGCCAATTTGATGTGCTGAGCACAATATCTTTTTTAATCTGGGTTTCAATTTTTTTATTTGATTATATTTCTGCAGGTTGATCAATACTGTAGTTGAGGTGACTGACCCTAATGGTTACAAAAACTCATCAAGGCTAATAAACCTCACTTTAATCTAGCACACGACTTTAAAGAAATGGAACTAAATTACCATATCAAAAAAAAAAATCATAGTGCTTTTCAAACCTGACAATTCTAGGGTATCTTCCAGATTCAGACCTGATTTGCCTACAAAAAAACATGGGCACTTTCACTTTTTTCGCAAACGATAAGTGGCAGAATTCGCCTCCAAAACTGAAATTTAAAATTTCGCACCAAATTGGTGGCATAGTAATTCATTGCATGACGTAGCCCAGTCGGAATTAATAAGATATTTAGAAAACGAATTCTATTTCAGTTTATGGAATTTAAATACGTTTTATTACGCGGGAAAAAAGCAAGTGAACTGCATCGCACTTGAAAAAAAGGTAGTGTTGTTTCAAAATGGTAGCTTACCTTTTAAGATCCTCATTGCAGACGCTTTCATAACATATAGGACACTTTCTCCATTGCTTGTCTGATAACGACAAATAGTGCAGGATGCATGACCAACAATAAATATGTCCGCACCG